TGGGACTGCATCAAACTAAAAGACTTCTGCATAGCAAAGGAAACCATGAAAAAGCAACCTACAGAATGGGAGAAAATATTTCCAAGTTACATAACTGGTAAGGGGTTAATGTGCAAAAAAATATAAAGAACTCCTACAGCACAATAGCAAAGAAACAATCCAATTTTTAACAATGGGCAAATGAACTGAAAAGACATTTCTCCAAAGAAGTTATACATATGGCCAACAGATAAGTGAAAGGTGCTCAATTTCACTAATCATTAGGGAAATGCAAATCAAAACCACAATGACATATCACCTCATATCTGTTAGCATGGCTACAGAATTATAAAAAAGATATAAGTATTGGTGGGACTGTGGAGAAAAGGGAATCCTTGTACTTTCTTGGTGGGAATGTAAACTGGTGCAGCCTCTATGGAAAACAGTATGGGGATTTTTCAAAAAATTAAAAATAGAACTAGCATATGATTCAGCAATCCTACTTGTGGGTATATATCCAAAGGAAATAAAGATAGGATATTGAAGAGATATCTGTACTCCAGTGTTCATTGTTCTTACTGGGGGAAAAAAAAGATAAATATGTGAGGTGATGGGTGTATTAATTGACTAGATGGGATTTTTCCACAGTGCATCATATATCAAATCACAGTCTACACTTTAAATATCTTACATACACTTGTAAATATCTTTATAATTTTTATGTCAATTATACCTCAGTAAAGATGAAAATTTTAAAAACCTGCACTTTGGAGATAAATTTTTAGCCACAAATGCTTTCATTATTAAACAAGAAACACTACGGGGCGCCTGGGTGGCTCAGTGGGTTGAGCGACTGACTTCGGCTCAAGTCATGATCTCACAGCTTATGAGTGTGAGCCCCATGTCGGGCTCTGTGCTGACAGCTTGGAGCCTGGAGCCTGCTTCGGATTCTGTGTCTCCCTCTCCCTCTGCCCCTAACCTACTTGCATTCTGTCTCTGTCTCTCTCAAAAATAAATAAACATTAAAAAAAAATTTTTTTTAAAGAAACACTACAAGTAAATTAAGCATCCAATATTTTTTTTTAAAGAAATTGTAAAGCAAGCTTAATAGAACAAATGGGAAAGAAGAAAGTCAAATGATTAAATTAGAAAATTAAAAAAGAATAGAAAACATAAACCCAAAAGATCATACATCATAGATTGCTTAGAAGTCTGAGAGGAGAAAGATTTATACCTAGAAATGAGAGGCTATGTAACTAAAGTATGTTTTAGAAACTTTATATCTTAATAAGTTAAAAAAAAAAAAAAAGATGGAGAAGGGAATGAACCAAGAGTTGGAAAACTTATATAGACTAGTAACCATTAGAAAAAGTCAAAGTAATGTGAGTTGGGTGGGAGGGAAAGGAGTGGATGGTCAATTTAATAGGCAACTTCCAAGTAACCACTAATTCTAATGTTGCATAAATTATTCAGGTAAACCTGAAAAGCTATACGATTAATTTGATAAAGCTACCTATTCTTGGTAAAAGTCTGATAAAGCTAGCATTTAAAAAGATTATAGACTAATCTCACTTATAAATGTAGTTGTAAAAATCCTAAATACCAAAAACAAAAAAACCCCAAAAAACTCCTCTAACAGGCACAAGTATTGTTTTCATCATGACCCAAGGAGGTTAACTCCAAGAACTGTAGATTCTGGGAGTATGGTAAACTAGATGGTAATGATATCCCTCCTAGTATAGCATACTGAGATATAATGTGTGTGAACATTTCAAACATTGGTGGAAGTGTAAGCAATTCCAGTGAGAATTCACAAGGATTAGCTGGCACTGGAGTCAAAGTCAGGCTTCTGTCCTCCCTATCCCACCCCAAATTGGGAGAGAGATTACCTGTTAGCTTTGTTCTGGGGAGTGCAAGAAAAAGAACCCATAACTATGTATTCACAAGGATTTGGGTTCAAAATTCACATCACCATGTGTGGTCCTCAGAAAACCCAAGGCAGTAATTTAATTTCAGAGGTTGCCAATGAGGTAGCCTTCCAGCACCTGGCAGAGACAAGTGCTCATTCTCTGATGCACTTTTATTTCAGCTTCAAAGAATTCCAAGGAGCATGAGTTCACCAAAAGTAAAAACAAAAACAAAAAAACCACAAACCTACCGTGGGTCAGAGTCAGATGAAACAAATAGTCAAACAGGGAAGACACTGAAGCTAGCAGATGCAGAATATACAACGAATACGTTAGAAAATAAGAGTACCGAAAGTTTGGCAAATTTTCAGAATTAGATTAAAAAAACAAAACTTCTGGGGTGCCTGGGTGGCTCAGTCGGTTAAGCGTCTGACTTCGGCTCAGGTCATGATCTTACGGTTCGATTTGAGCGATGTCGGTTTGACATGTCGGTGCTGACAGCTCAGAGTCTGGAGCCTGCTTCAGATTCTGTGTGTCTCTCTCTCTCTGCCCCTCCCCTGTTCATGCTCTGTCCCTCTCTGTCTCAAAAAAAAAAAAAAAAAAAAAAAAGGTTCTTCTTATAAAAAAAACAAAAAAACTTCTAGGAAAAAAAAAGTGATAATTGGATTGAAGCCCAATACAGTTACATTAAATAGCAGGTTAGACACAGTAAAAAATAGTGAACTAGAAGAAAGGTCTGAAGAAATTGCACAGAATGTAACACAGAGGGCTAGGTGGAAAATATGAGTGAGAATGTAAGAGATATGGAAGACTGAAGAGGTCTAATATGTCCTTGATTGAAATTCCTGGAGATCACAGAGGTAATGGGGTAGGTGCAATATTAGAGAAGGTAATGGCTGAAAAGGTTTGGGGAGCACATGGAAAAAAACATAGTCTTTAGATTTAGGGACCCTAATGAATCCCAAACAGAGCAAATAAAATTAAACCCCCATCTGACACAACATAAAAAACCTCAGGGTACACATTCTGAAATGTCATAAAAGCAGTGGCAGAGAAAAATATTACCTAAGGGGGTAAGGACAATTAGACTGATGATTGTTTGCTAATGGCAACATTAAAAGGCAAATATCAGTGTCAAATTAGAATTCTTTCTTTTTAATATTTGCTTATTTTTGAGAGAGAGTGTGAGTGGGGGGAGGGGCAGAGAGAGAGAGGCGGGCTGAGGGGGGGGCGACTCAGAATCCAAAGCAGATTCCAGGCTCTGAGCTATCAGCACAGAGCCCGGCATGGGGCTTGAACTCACAAACTGCAAGATCATGACCTGAGCCAAAGTCAGACACTCAACCGACTGAGCCACCCAGGTGCCCCTAGAATTCTACTTTCAACAAATACCTCTCAACAAATTATCTTCAAGGAAGAGGGCAAAATAAAGATTTTTTTTTTAATTCAGGGAAGCTATATGATTATTTTTAATGCTGAGAAGACAGAGATTCAATGCCTACTGCTTACTTAAAAATGAAAAATGAATAAACTAGGAATAAATTATAAACTCTCTGAGCACAGGGGCCCTGCTTATCACATAATCATACATGTAGAAGGCACTCAATTAATGATCTACATGAATGGCTTTCCTTTGGCAGGAGAGTGGCTATCTGCCAGAAACAGGCAGACATCATGGGTGATAGCAAATGTTAGAGGCATTCCTGTTAAAGTGTAGAGCAAAATATGGATGCCTAATATTATCACTGTTGTCTAATGTTGTACCTGAAATTCTCGAGAGAAAGAAATGACTATGAGAAGGAAGACATTACTAATTTTTATTTTATTTATTTATTTAAAGTTTATTTTTGAGAGAGAGAGGGAAGGAGAGCATATGCAGCTGGGGAGGGGCAGAGAGAGAGGGAGACAGATTATCCCAAGCGGACTCCACACTGTCAGCATGGAGTGCGATGCAGGCTCCATCTCATGAACTGTCAGATTGTGACCTGGGCTGAAATCAAGACAGAGCCACCCAGGCACCCCAACATTACTAATTTTTAAATTAATGGCATCTCCTATTAATACAACAGAAAATAATCAGCTGGAGAACTGTCAGAAGAAATACATAGAAAGATTTGGTCCAGAAGAAATGAGACCTATCCAGGAGCTTGAATACCATCCTTCCTCAGGGTTTTGTTCAAAATTGGAAACATGTATTCCTTCAATGTTATAAATCTACTAGAAACACGAAGAAGAATCAGGGTGGCTCCTGCCTTCAGGATGAGTGGTAAACAGGGTGGCATACTCATTACTGACTTTATTGGCTGTAATGGATATAAAGGAACAACTTTCCAGTTTTATCTGAGCAGCATAGTGGTGGGAGGAAGAGCCATAAAATGCCTCATAGGTGAGGTGATCCTTAAATTGAGTCCAAATTCAGGACTAAAAAGCCAAATTTTGAAAAAAAGATCCTTAACGTGAATTGTTATCCTCAAATGAGTAATTCACGTGGCCATCTTTACATTTCACAAGTTAGAGTGAAAGATGTTGAAAGTGGAAAATCCATCACTTGACAGATTGTGTTATAAGCTAAGATCAGGAGGCTTTTAATTTGGGGAGTTAATCGTATTGAGTGCTTATATAGATCTATCTTATAAAGAGATGTCTGAAGAAGTCTGTTCAGTTCTAATCTGATTATCCTAATAGGTTTAGTGGGTACAATAGTTGACAGTGGCCTGCTATTAATTAACAAATAGTCTTTTATTTTTAACTTGAACTTTAAGCTGTGATTAAACAATATGATTAATTAGAACACTTGAGACTTGGCCTAAAATTGATGACTTGGGAGCTCTAAACTTATGTCCCATTGTGTTTTTCCTAAGTGAATGTTCATCTAATTCTCTCTCTTTGGGGACATTGGGAAGTACCACTCTGTGTCATGCTTAGTGGTCTCCTCAAGACCCTCCCTCTTCTCATTTCCATTAGTTTTTGTATCTTTTCCCCTCTTAGAAGATTCAATCTCCTGCCCACACCCTACAATTGCTTCAATAAAGTCCTTTTAGTCTTTTAAAGAAGCCTTATGAATTCCACTTCAAACTAATTTATGATTAACTAAAACGATTCTTTCTTTTCTAGGATCGTAGAAATCTATAGTAGACGATTACAAGGTAAACTTTTAAACATTTATTTACAGAAAAACATTTTTTTCTTAAGGAAAAAGTATTTTCGGTTGTTGTTCTTATTTCAAGTAGAATACATGCGACTTACCAAAATCAAAACCTCATAGGAATGTAAGACAGAAAGTCTGCAGTGTTTCAAGCCTCCAGAAGAAATCATTGATGTATTTGCAAACTCCTTCGTATTTCATGCATCTACCAACATTTTGAAATCAATTTATTTTTATTATATTTTTAAATGTCCTCATATTGTATGTAATGGGCTTCACTTTTTTCCCCCTATTTTTTTTCACTTAACAAATAAAACATTTTTTTTCCCCACATGCACATAACTATCTCATTGATTTTGCTGGCTGTTTAGCATTCCATTGTACGGCCGTGGTGGGGCTTGATTTAACCATTTCCTGCTCCAATAGATGTTTGAAAATTTTGTCAGTTTTCAAATAGATGCAGTGCTGCAGTGAACACTCTTAATGTGTTTTCAGAGATGAGTTGTTTATTCAGCACGGGAACTGCATTGCGTAGGTTAAATGGTTGGTCTCTAGCTTTCAATTCAATACTTGGACTGTAGCGCCTTTGTTAATCCTGTTGCGAGCTACTTGTTCATTTGCATGGAGGTGCTTGTTATCAATATTCTGTTGGTCTCACTGCACACCTAAGAGACAGCTGTCATTCTTAGCATTCCCTCCAGTGGTGCTGAGCCCCCGTCAGTACTTATTCTGCAGGTGAGGGAATTGAACAGCTGCCCCCTGTGGGCCAGGCAGCAGACAAAGCAAACTGGGAAAAGCTGGTGTGCCTTAGCTCTCAAACTTCACAGAAGTCTGCTTTTTAAGACTTCAGATATTCTAAAGACAACAAATACTCTAAAGATGGCTGGGTGTGTCAGACTCCTAAACCGAGCTTCTTGTCACACCCACAGTTCAAGAGCGTCTTACAAAACAAATCGCAGTAGCCATCACAGAAGCCTTGCGGCCTGCTGGAGTTGGGGTGGTGGTGGAAGCAACGTAAGTCTATGTTTGCCTTTCATAATGTCCTTGTGGTGCATGGAAGTGATATTTAGTGCTGCTCTTTTCCCAGCGCTGGGTGGTGGCACACAATTGACACTGTCCCATTTTCTGTCTCTGAGACTGAAGCTTTTTTTTACCTCTTTCATTTACTGTGTTGTTGATATAGGAAACTGGGTACAGGAGACAGGCTTTGTTTTGTTTTTGGTGAGGGTTATGGAGGTGTAGGGAGTCATCAGTGTAGTGATTTGTGCAACCGTGGCACAAATGTCTTCTCTTGATTTCTTCTTTAGCTCTTTGTTGCTCTATGCAGACTTTTCCTGATATTTTGTCACACGTTTTAAAAAATGGAGCTAAGACTGTGTGCACAGGGCACCTGAAGACACTTATTTAAGTTCAAATGAATTATGGGAATTGCGCACATCTTCTCCATTCTCCTGGCATGGCATGAGCTCTGTGCTGTGCGTGCTGTCTGGCCCCATCAGGTTGCTTAGGCTCACTGTGGTCACCGTTCTGTGGATTCGCCTGGTGAGACCAGCATACTTCAGTGTTTCTCCTCGCACGTAAGCTAGCATTGTGTTGTCTGGGTCCTAAAGACTGTTCAAGTGAAAATTCTGTATTTCTTTTTATCCAGAAGTTGTTGTATTTCTGCGGACCCCTTGTAGTATTTTCACAAGAAAGAAAATTCCTTTTTTTCCCCTTCTGCTAGATGCATCAAAGACTCAACCACTGAGAAACTTAATGAAAACTTCAGGTCAAATCTGTCTAAGAAGTGATATTGGATACAGCTGGTAGCTGTGAACTCAGTATAATCGGATTTAACTTTTTGGCTTGCTTCTTACTTTAAAAACCAAACCAGCAACTGTCGATTTCTTTAAGCCACCTTTGTTGTCTTGTTTTGTAGACACATGTGTATGGTAATGCGAGGGGTACAGAAAATGAACAGCAAAACTGTGACCAGCACGATGTTGGGTGTGTTCCGGGAAGATCCAAAGACTCGGGAAGAGTTTCTAACTCTCATTAAGAGCTGAACTTCAGCGTGTGTCCTGTGGTTTGCAGATCGTGCCACTAGAAACATTGTTTGTCTGGTCTTAACTGTTTGTACATTCCGTTTCCAGTTGTTACAGATGTGAACTTTATCCCTTGTCACTAATTGTGTTTAATAATTATTTATAGCAATGAAATAAAAATAATTAATAAAGGGGTGAGCCCTCTACTTTCTTCTTGCCACCTTTTAGTGGTAACTGTCAAGGAAACTGCCAAATAGTATAAGTTACATGCACAAACTCACTGCCATTTGGATAACCATTGGGTGCTGGAAAGGAAGAAAAACTCAAGTATTTCGTTCAAATACTATGGTAATTGGGTTCATAAGCGTAGGAATTTTGGGAATGGGAGGAAATTATGGCCAATATACTGTTTTTTTTTTTCCCCCTCCCCAAACAAAAATGGTGTAGTGCTTAAAATAATTCCTGTACAGCATGCAGCATTGCTCTGCAAACACAAAGTCCAACAGGCTCCACCATAATCACATTTCATAAACTGCCAGGGCACTTTATTTTTTATATATTTATTTTTTAACTGTCCAGTTATAATGTTAGTCATGAAAGGGAAGGTGGTAGGATATCTATGTTTTTTATTTTACTGTGAGCTAAAAAGGCACGTTTCTACTTTCTGTTCTTTTTTAAATTCAAGTACAAAGAATTTGTTCCTTTTGTTTACGAATGTATTCCCATGTCAACATACAGGGATTTAGACATTTAACTCTCTGTGCCTTGATGCGAATATCACACCACTTGGAGTGTAGCTACCTTTGCCATTTTTTAAAAAGCCATTATTTTATGAGACTTAAGTACCAACACTGCAAATAACTAGTCCTCACAATTTTACCTTTAGAAGTCTCTTGCAAGCTTACTTTGTGTATTCCTTGTAGATGCCTGAAAACTTTTTTTAAAAGTCTTATCAAGTATTTTTCTATGTATTTCCAGAAACTTTTGAGAATGTCCATCATTATCAGGTCTGCAGAACCATAGCTTCTGTGAATATGAAAGATGGCAGAATGAACTAACCGTGGACTGCATTGTGACCGATATCCAATGTTTAATGAAAGCTGCATTGTTGGTGCCTATGAAAATGCACTGTAATTTTCTGGAATTACTGGAAAATATAGGAAGCCCCCATATTGGCTCCTCTTGTGGTCCCTGTGGGTCTTGTCTTCAGTGTAACTGTTCAAGTGGTATATAGGTCTTTTCTTCCAGGAAGCTGTTGCCTTATTAATGACTACCTGAAATTTCCTCCACTGGGGCAGTGTGGGGCAAATTAAAACAACAAAGAAAAAACCCAACTCCCCTGCAAAAACACAACCACAGTCATTCCATGGAAAAGTCTCTTATTTGGTTGACCTCATGCTCTTCAGATTTATTCTGTTACCTTAAGAACTAATTGCAGTGCTTTCTTTAACCTTGATGGTCCTAAATCTGCCACTTTGATGTCATTTGACTTATGATGGGACACGGTGGCAGAAGTGCTGTTTATTTATTTATTTAAGTTTCTTTATTTATTTTGAGAGAGAGAGTGAGCGCACATGCGCAGAGTAGGGGCAGAGAGAGAGAGAGAGGGAGAGAAAATCCCAAGCAGGCTCTGCTCTGTCAGCACAGAGCCCAATGCAGGGCTTGATCTCACAAACCCATGAGATCATGACCTGAGCTGAAACCAAGAGTTGTTTGTTTAACCAACTGAGCCACCCAGACGCCCCCAGAAGTAATGTTTAAAAAAAAAATTCTTCCCTACTTCTATTTTCTATATTTTTCTATACTTGGAGTTTCTGAAATACAGTGTTAATTCATTCTGAGTTCCTTTAAAAAAAATCTAATCTGATATAAACATTATCCTGCTTAATGTTTAGACATTTAAGAACTAGAATTAAGCACTCAACTCATGTTTGGTATTTTAAAGTAAAAAAAGATGTGATTTGGAGGACCAAAGAAATTATTAGCTATAAATTCATCTTTCTGAGATCAATTGTATTCCTTTTTAATGAGTCTCTAACATTTCCTACAAGTGTTCTCATAAAGGTCTAATGTATCTACAGGCTATTGTCTTATTGGTAAATGCAAAGTAATAATCTTGTCTGTTTTACTCTAGTCTGCAGTACTTTAAAATTTTCATATCTGTGAATCCATTTTGGGGATTTTTAAGAATTTGATGCATTTAAGTACACTGTTCAATTGTTTGAATTTTATGTATGCGTGCATCTGTTCCTGAAGTTGGTTCTATTGAAATTATTAAAGTGTTATACCATAGTTTCTTGTGAAAGTAGTTTCTTTCTGAACCACTTGTATAGATATAACAATAGATTATTTTAATTGTATTCTCTTTTACCAAAGATACCCATCATAAGGGCTTCCCTCAGTCATCAAGCTATTAAAATATAAATCCCAGTGGCAGTAGAAATTAACCTGGGGTCCTCTGTCTTCCTTTGGTATTTGGTTTGGGTATTACTGTCCTCACCCTCTGGCTGGTAAGGGAAGAGGAGGTCTGGGGTAAGAGTGAGGAGTCTGAGTGGCCCTCATGTCCCTATTGTCCTAAATCTAAGTTTGAAAAACATCAGCCTCCTGAGAACTGGTGCTGTTTCTGTGTGGGAGCTGTTGGAGGAAGAGCAGGCTGGGGCAGGGAGCCAGGCAGTGCTGGGAGTGGAAGAGAGTTTCCCTCCTTCTTCTAGGGAAGAGCCTGCCTTGGACAAAACTTCCAACGAAGTGCAAAGCTTTTGCTGCCTCTTTTCTGTCTGTGTCTGGTGCCCTTGTCCATACCTCCTCTGGGGTTCTTCTCCCCATTTGCTGCTCTACCTAGGCAGAGGCCCCTGCCTTTCCCTAATGTCCATGTGCCCAGATTCTGGGGCTCTGGAGTGTCCTGCTGCTCCTTCAAGGACTCTGTGGACTGTTGGGCGGTGAATCTAGCCACCCAATCTAGAAATGCTTATTGAAATACCACATTCCTAAAACCATAACTCAGTAGAACAACGAGCTGCTCAACTAAGCCCAAGTTGCTGCCCCTGAGTTTTTTCACTTTTAAAGATTGGCTGAGTTCCCTGTTTTGTCGCTTAGGGAAAGAGCAGTTGAAGACACCAAAGGTTTTAGAGAATGCTGCCAACATAGAACACCTGGATTCACCCTGAAGGGCCTGGGTCCACTTGTTGATGGTGAGAAGAGGGAGTCTCAGTAGATGAGTTCAAGGTGAAGTATAAATACACGATAGCCGCCCCCCTCTCCCCCGAGGTACCTGGTTTATGTTTATTTTAGTCTTTACTATGGAAAAAAAAAAAACAGGGGCGCCTGGGTAAGTCGGTTAAGCATCTGACTTCAGCTCAGGTCATGATCTTGTGGTCCGTGAATTCGAGCCCTGCGTCAGGCTCTGTGCTGACAGCTCAGAGCCTG